ATCGCGTTCAAAAGACAAGACACATCGCCGCAAGGAGGTCGAAGGAGCCAAACTTTTGTTCCGGATAGTCAACGAAGAATCGTAATCGTGGAAAGCCAATAGGAACGCCGGTCGATGTGGCGGCCGGCACGCGCTCTGAAAACCTAAAACAGCCTGATCTGTATGATTCACTCTTGTTTTGCGTATAGTTTGTTCCCTCTCAAAATACGCAGGAGCGATATCTTTTCGATAACTTTTGCCCTTGCTTTCGAAAATTTCGTGTTTTCCCAACGTCTGCCTGGACAAAGATTAGCGCACGTCAGTTTAGGCAATCGAAGCTCGCTCCGATCGCAACCATGACGGATGAGAACAACGTTTCCTCGATTAAGGAAATCATATCTGTGAGAATAAGGGCAAGCCATGCCGGGATTGAATTCACCATGGACCATGTGAAAGCGAAGGTCACCATCGCCAACACGAGCCAAAACATTCCGTGAGCAATGGCCGCTATGGAGACCCGAAAACGAACCATTCGAAATTCTTCTTCACTGAAGTCCATTTCTCCACTTTGTAATAGATGACGAAATGCGCGAAACTTAATCATGAGGAGGAAACTCGACATCACCATGAAGAAGTACGCGAATTGAGTTCCTACTACACAGATGTAGACCATGAGGGAACCCACTTCCTTCCTGAATTCACTTAAGAAAAGAAAAGGAATTGGGAAGGAAAGAGCCCACGAGCAAACGCAGAAGACGAGGATGCAGTAGAGGAACCAAACGAGATTGAAGGGGAACGCCAGACCTCGGAGGGAGAGAGGAACGAGGCCTAAAGCTCTTGCCACGGCCAGGAGGGGCCGGCAGGTCTTCAGGAACAAGTTCTCCATGGCTGGCACTCCGAATGATCGGGAACGTAGGTGGACCTCATCCCTTGGACTAAATCGATTTCACTATCGGAAATTGTATTGACGTTCCGTCGACCCAGCCCAAATAAACAGTCTTTCATTGTAGATTCTATCTCAACAAATATCTGTCTGAGCATTTTAAGAATAATCCCTGTGATGCTCAAGAGCAATCTACTTTCTGAGTCATTATTTCATAGCTGGTAATGACTTTTTGACTGAAACAATGTGTTTTTCTTTATTCAAGTTTGTTTTCACACAAAGGCTAGCTATGCCTTCTTTGTTATAGATATGATGACATCGAAATCATTACATTTCTGAACTTGCCACGGAACATAATGATAGGAAGAGGAATTTTTAGACCCCCGCCAGTTTCGGTAGGATTGTCACCAATAGCCATTGCCAAGGGATTGCAAAGGCATTGCGCTTCCTGTAAAAGTCTTCCCCGAAAATGCGATGATGCTTGGGTGTATCGCTTCTGCTGATCCAGTCATGACAGGAGTCACGACTTGAAACTTTCGATGAAATTGGCTGCAACTGATTGGGAAAATGCCAGCTGCAAATGTCCCTGATCCAGCACTTCCCTGTCTTGGACATTCTCCCGATTGCTTTCGCACTTTTCATTACTACGACAATCGCTCCACGAAGGGTAAGGAGAATGGAAAATTTCTCGATGTTTGCCGTGCAGATTCATCAGAGAAGTAGGGTTATTTTCCTGGAAGAGTACCAAAGGTGTTTGCCCAGTTTCTGCATTTAAATCTATTTTAAAAATTTGTGCATATTTCGAGAGGGAGCCATTAGCCAAACCTAAAAATATCATTACGGTAAATTTATAATTTCAGCAATTTGACAAAGTTAGGCTGGGTTAGGATAGCCGATTTTTTGCTTTTCGCTTGCCAGAGAGGAAATTCTAGGCGACTTCCTAATAAATTATTTCATTCTGCTGGACGAAGCCCAGTAGAATGAATGCATGATTTCGGGGAATTTTTCCAAAGGGCGATAAGGGCGAAGAAACCAATGTTTCATGGTGAATTGGACAGAAATGGAAAGGTGAAACTTGGCACATGTATAACTGATATAATATTATTGAGTTGAGGGAGAATAGCGGCTCCCGGATGACAGGTCAAAAGAGGGGAAAGAGACATTCGTGGAAGGACAGGGTTGTAATATATTAAAGTCTTGCGATTTCTTTTTCCATGAGACTCCACCTTCTTTGCGCATTTCATGAGGTCCCAATTAGCAACACTATTCGTACATCGTCCGTCGGCAAATTCTTCGGCCTCAATAGATTTCCTTTGATTGCCTGTTCGAATTGGAGAGTCTCTGCTTTAGTTTCTAGCATTTCATTGCAAAATTCCTGTGTGGGGTCCCAAAAGCGTCCCGATCCTTCGTGCATGTTAAAAAAGAGCAATATTGCTCTAAAATGATGCATTCTACGGATGGAATTGCGCTTTTAAGCCCGAGTTCAACTTGGGTCAAATGATGTCCTACTTCTTCTGCTTACAAATATATAATGAAGGGCATTCCACGTGCATCATGTGGAGACAATCAATGACAGTTTTGGTGTTGCTGAAGTGCAGGATATCCAAGGCAAACTTCGAAATACCTGAAGTACATTAATAAATATCGATACAGCAGATATGCATCATGTCTCCGACCTAACGCACAGAATCGAATTGATGCATTTTGATCGCCATGAAAAAGGGTTCACNTGTTTTCCCAACGTCTGCCTGGACAAAGATTAGCGCACGTCGGTTTAGGCAATCGAAGCTCGCTCCGATCGCAACCATGACGGATGAGAACAACGTTTCCTCGATTAAGGGAATCATATCTGTGAGAATAAGGGCAAGCCATGCCGGGATTGAATTCACCATGGACCATGTGAAAGCGATGGTCACAATCGCCAACACGAGCCAAAACATTCCGTGAGCAATGGCCGCTATGGAGACCCGAAAACGAACCATTCGAAATTCTTCCTCACTCAAGTCCATTTCTCCACTTCGTAATAGATGACGAAATGCGCGAAACTTAATCATGAGGAGGAAACTCGACATCACCATGAAGAAGTACGCGAATTGAGTTCCTACTACACAGATGTAGACCATGAGGGAACCTACTCCCTTTCTGGATTCATTTAAGAGAAGAAAAGGAATTGGGAAAGACAGAGCCCACGAGCAGACGCAGAAGACGAGGATGCAGTAGAGGAACCAAACGAGATTGAGGGGAAACGCCAGACCTCGAAGGGAGATAGGAACGAGGCCGAACACTCTGGCCACCGCCAGGACGGGCCGGCAGGTCTTCAGGAACAAGTTCTCCATGGCTGGCCGTTCCACTCCGAATGATCGGAAACGTAGGTGGACCTCATCCCTTGGACTAAATCGATTTCACTATCGGAAATTGTATTGACGTTCCGTCGACCCAGCCCAAATAAACAGTCTTTCATTGTAGATTCTATCTCAACAAATATCTGTCTGAGCATTTTAAGAATAATCCCTGTGATGCTCAAGAGCAATCTACTTTCTGAGTCATTATTTCATAGCTGGTAATGACTTTTTGACTGAAACAATGTGTTTTTCTTTATTCAAGTTTGTTTTCACACAAAGGCTAGCTATGCCTTCTTTGTTATAGATATGATGACATCGAAATCATTACATTTCTGAACTTGCCACGGAACATAATGATAGGAAGAGGAATTTTTAGACCCCCGCCAGTTTCGGTAGGATTGTCACCAATAGCCATTGCCAAGGGATTGCAAAGGCATTGCGCTTCCTGTAAAAGTCTTCCCCGAAAATGCGATGATGCTTGGGTGTATCGCTTCTGCTGATCCAGTCATGACAGGAGTCACGACTTGAAACTTTCGATGAAATTGGCTGCAACTGATTGGGAAAATGCCAGCTGCAAATGTCCCTGATCCAGCACTTCCCTGTCTTGGACATTCTCCCGATTGCTTTCGCACTTTTCATTACTACGACAATCGCTCCACGAAGGGTAAGGAGAATGGAAAATTTCTCGATGTTTGCCGTGCAGATTCATCAGAGAAGTAGGGTTATTTTCCTGGAAGAGTACCAAAGGTGTTTGCCCAGTTTCTGCATTTAAATCTATTTTAAAAATTTGTGCATATTTCGAGAGGGAGCCATTAGCCAAACCTAAAAATATCATTACGGTAAATTTATAATTTCAGCAATTTGACAAAGTTAGGCTGGGTTAGGATAGCCGATTTTTTGCTTTTCGCTTGCCAGAGAGGAAATTCTAGGCGACTTCCTAATAAATTATTTCATTCTGCTGGACGAAGCCCAGTAGAATGAATGCATGATTTCGGGGAATTTTTCCAAAGGGCGATAAGGGCGAAGAAACCAATGTTTCATGGTGAATTGGACAGAAATGGAAAGGTGAAACTTGGCACATGTATAACTGATATAATATTATTGAGTTGAGGGAGAATAGCGGCTCCCGGATGACAGGTCAAAAGAGGGGAAAGAGACATTCGTGGAAGGACAGGGTTGTAATATATTAAAGTCTTGCGATTTCTTTTTCCATGAGACTCCACCTTCTTTGCGCATTTCATGAGGTCCCAATTAGCAACACTATTCATACATCGTCCGTCGGCAAATTCTTCGGCCTCAATAGATTTCCTTTGATTACCTGTTCGAATTGGAGAGTCTCTGCTGTAGTTTCAGGCATTTCATTGCAAAATTCCTGTGTGGGGTCCCAAAAGCGTCCCGATCCTTCGTGCATGTTAAAAAAGAGTAATATTGCTCTAAAATGATGCATTCTACGGATGGAATTGCGCTTTCAAGCCCGAGTTCAACTTGGGTCAAATGATGTCCTACTTCTTCTGCTTACAAATATATAATGAAGGGCATTCCACGTGCATCATGTGGAGACAATCAATGACAGTTTTGGTGTTGCTGAAGTGCAGGATATCCAAGGCAAACTTCGAAATACCTGAAGTACATTAATAAATATCGATACAGCAGATATGCATCATGTCTCCGACCTAACGCACAGAATGGAATTGATGCATTTTGATCGCCATGAAAAAGGGTTCACCATCTGATGCGTTTTCATCGCATCCAAAATTTAATGCGATAAACGCACCCAATGTTGGACGCGGTAAGAACGCATCACATGGGGACAGATTTCTCACAACCAAAATGCCTCAAATTGGTGCACTGAATTTTCTGTGTGTAACACTCCGCACTAACGAATCACTAATGTGGTCCTGTGCCTCTGAATTAAGGTTCTAGGGAGAGGTGGAACTGGAGCAGGGTGACGAAGAAGGTGGACAGGTTCACCACCGTCTGCAAAAAAACAAAAGGATAAAAAATGGGAGGAAGACCACATCCATTCCCTCTGCTCGAAATCGTGGAATTTTGGACTCACAGCTGAAAGAAGCGGGAGATCGACCTCGAACAGGCCGCAGGCAGTCACAGGTCTCCAACTCCGGGAAATTTCCTTTTCAAACATTTCCATCTGCAAGTGAAGTGGGTAATATGCATGTAGCGGAATGCTTTTAGTTCAGTAGTTTCTCGCTAGATCCTTTGTGATTCCAAGAGGGGATGGCATCAATTCCTCCTCCAAAGCCAAAAGTATTATGAGGAACCAGTTCGAGCCGCTCTAATTTGCCAAGTGGAGAAATTGCTTTCGTTGGAGCAGGCATCCTCAACTTACAACGGCATTCCACGAATTTAATTTGTGGGATTCATCTTCGTATCACTAATAATCTTAGGCAAATCAGATTCCGAATAACTATGTAAAGTTGAATATTAAACAAACCTGCTGCAGCAAAGAAGGGTCAAGGACGGTTTTCCCAGCCGCACGTGAAAGGATTGCTGACATTTCCCCTCTCTGAAACAGATGATGCAAGATGCGAAGACTTCAAAGATTGAGGTTGATTGATGTGAATAACTTACATTGTGCTTGACGCTTCGGCAGACGATGCAGGTTGACAAAAGTTTCACCGTGGTTATGATGAACCCAGGAATGTAGCAGAAGTAAGGAAACTTCGTCGCAGACTTTATCAAGACGGGAGCTAAGACGATGAAGGCGGTGAAGAGAGCCGTCGCAAAGGTTGTGAGAGCCTTCACGAGCAGGATCTCAGAGAAGAGGCTCGAAGAGAGGTCGAGAAGATGACACAAGCGACTGTGGTTGCATCTAATGGTCTGGATGAATTGAATCCCATCGACCGAGTCGGTGGTGTTCGGTGGAGCAGGCGTCTTCCAGCGAGGAGGGCGGATCTGCTCGCCATCCTGTTTGGCGGTGGAGATTCCCACACCTGGATGCCACATTCCGTCTGAGTTTTCTTCCGAGGAACAGAGACTCCCATCAGAATGGCCGAATTCGATACCTTTTTGCCCTGGTTTTCGAAAATTTCCTGTTTTCCCAACGTCTGCCTGGACAAAGATTAGCGCACGTCGGTTTAGGCAATCGAAGCTCGCTCCGATCGCAACCATGACGGATGAGAACAACGTTTCCTCGATTAAGGGAATCATATCTGTGAGAATAAGGGCAAGCCATGCCGGGATTGAATTCACCATGGACCATGTGAAAGCGAAGGTCACCATCGCCAACACGAGCCAAAACATTCCGTGAGCAATGGCCGCTATGGAGACCCGAAAACGAACGATTCGAAATTCTTCTTCACTGAAGTCCATTTCTCCACTTTGTAATAGATGACGAAATGCGCGAAACTTAATCATGAGGAGGAAACTCGACATCACCATGAAGAAGTACGCGAATTGAGTTCCTACTACACAGATGTAGACCATGAGGGAACCCACTTCCTTCCTGAATTCACTTAAGAAAAGAAAAGGAATTGGGAAGGA